CCCGTAAAACCAATGAATATTATAATGTAAATATTGTTTGCTTGCTGTTTTGTTTTGTTCGTTTGGCTAGCTCACCATTCTCTTGTTCGTTTCTTTTTTTCACTCTCTTTCACTTTTCACTTGTCATGTGTCCTCTTGAGCTGCGCGACAAAGCTTCTATACAGTTTGCGCTGGGTTGAGAGAGCATGGAATATTTTGTGTTGCAATTAATTTTTCTCTCTTTCTCGACACACTCTCTCGCACTCTTTCTCGCTCTCGCTGGATTGTTCAGTTCGAGATGAACGCGAGATGATTACTTTTTACAAGCATTACGATTATAGTCAGGGCTTTTTTTTCCGTTGTGTATGTGTTTATTTCCATTTTGAGCGTTGTTTTTTCTCTGCTTTTTTTCGAATGCGACATTTTATGGAGCCCCGAATGTTCTAAACGGTGATGACTGTACTTTCATACGATGGTAACTCGCTTGTTTTTATGCGTTGCCATATCAAAAGGGCTTTTGTAACCGTAAAATTGCTACCATGTTGATGACGCGCATACTACTCTGCCACTCTTCAAACGACTGTCATTCGCATTCAGCCGAAAATGTGTGCCTTTTTTGCTGTTGCCATCAAAGGTGTCATCGTGTGAATTAGTCTCTTTGTGTTATGTCTCTCTCCTGCTAAATGTGCATCGCAGCGATGCGTTTCAATGATGTATGACGTGGAGAGAGAGAGGGAGAGAGATAGGGAGAGAGGGTGGAGAGGGCGGATAGACAATGTAAAAAGTTCATTAAGTATGCACTGAATGGACCATCAAAAAGCAGCTTTTGCAACTAATGCATTTTAATTGTTGTTCCGCATGACAACGAAAAGATCCAACAAAGCCCAAAAAATTGTGGAACCATTACATGCACGATGCTTTGTCCCTCGATTGCCCATTTAAAATATATGTACCAAAAATGCGTCCGCTGAAATCGCTACAAATGTATTTTACTTCATACTCCCCCCGGCATATATGGCACACACGTATGAAATGTGAATTTGTCCGAAATTATTTGAGAGAGAGAAAATGCCACTTAATATCTCAATATTTCATCAGCTATGGGACATAAAATGTCACTTGCATTCATGCGGAACTATTATTATTATTAGCATTGTCAACCGGTTGCTGAACACCATTTTAGACCCATTTTATGTGATATTTTTTTTATTGTCATTTTTCTCTCTCTCCTATCCGAAAAAAATGTGTTTGCTTTGCTCGTGCTCGCCATTTAATTACATATGTCGTGCGCACGCGTCATTTCCACACTAATTACCACGAATGATGTTAAGTGCTAACTGATCACCGTTGATGTAAAGCAACCGCGCTGAAACACACGTACGAATACCACACTATTTAGCCAAAAGGTGTGTATGTGTGTCATTTTGCCGTCCGTACATACAGAGAGTGAGCGAGTGAAAGAGGAAAAATTTTCATACAAATATTTTTCATGCTGACCTTTTCCATGCCAAACCACAAGAATATTATTGTTAGTTCACCTGTCGGCAACATTCTGTCAAAGTAAGCCAGAATGAGTTGTAAAACGCCGTTTCCCATCAAAAGTTCAAAATGCAAAATGATGCTGCAAAAATTGTGTGCGTCAAAACAACATTTCCGGTTCACTGCAATCATTTCCATTGTGTGCAGACTGAGAGACTATTTCCCAAAATTGCTTACCTTGTCAAATGTCATAACTTCAACTGTCGCGCAATGAATCTGCGATGAATAAAATTACTTCTCTCGCTTTTTTTTTCTACTAATTGTTCTTCATTCAAATAACAAACGACTAAGCAATCCGAATTAATGACGATTTCTTGACTTTTCATTTCGTTTCCCGACCCATTCCATTCACAATAGAAACATTATCTCTAGCGAAGGATAATTAAAAAGACGTTCAGGAAGCGGAATTTTTTCCTACTCTTAATGCGCATATTTAGATAGTTGTTTTATTTTCGTTCGTCTTGTCAATTGTACAGGTTGACGTATGTGATTATCGACTAGTTCTTCATATTTCAATCTATTCAAAATCTTTGAATGGAACATAAAAAAAATTGTTTCTACAAATTAAGTCAATACGTATATGAACAAGTTCGACATACATAAATTTGAGCAGCAGAAAAAAAATCAGTTTTTGTATGGACAAGAAATTATCTGTAGAAAAAAAAGTCTAATTACAATTCACAAAAGAGATAAACAACTCCTTGCCGATTGTTGTTAGAATGTGCGCAGTGCAATTATATGCTTGTTACCAGGAGTTGTTATTGTTGGCTGGATCGACGTGAGCGCACTTAATCATTTGCTACTCCACCACCGCCACCGCCGTTATCGTCGTCATATCTCCAAACAAAGTACCTCCCTGCATTGAAGAAAAATACGAGAGAACTTTTTTTTAATAAGAAAAAGGCTCGCATTTGAAAAGATTTCTTTTTTATTCGTTGCTGTTGTTGCTGTGTGTCAAACGTTGCTGTCTTTTGTATCGGAGGATTGAGCAATGAGCATTGCATCACTATGGCTATTCTTATATTTGTCGTTGGTCTTTTATGTTTCTCTTTCCCGCTCGCTCGGTGTGTGTGCTTCTTTCTGTTTCTAAAAAGAGCAAAGATTGCGTTGTGTTTGGTTAAGAACAATTATTCAAAGCTTGTCATTTGCCTATTGTCAATTTCTCGGTACGTATTCAAGATGGTGGTTGCCAACGTTGGTTTTCAACATTGGCAAAGGAATGAACACACTTGAATTACAAAAAGAGCGCATAAAACGTGAAATGGGAATAAATGACATCAACGTACCTACAGCAACAAAAAAACTGTTTACTCATTCTGATGCCATCCAAATAATACGGCAGGTTGATTTTATTGTTTTTTTTTTCTGGTTGGTAATTAACAGCAACACAAATTCTTAATCACTTGTTGTTCTTCATTCGTTGGAAAAAAAAGAAGAATAATAAAAAAAAACCACGTCAAGTATCTGGAGAATCATCGCATCAGAACCTTTGTCACATAACTCATTTCTCAATAACAAACAACTATGTAAATAGTAGAAATTCGTTATTTTTTTTCCCAGAATGGGCCCATTTTTTTCTCTGACTTTGACCGTTCGGTTTGCATGCCAAATCCAATTTTGTTTTGGAAAATTCCCAGCCGCTTATTTCTCCAGTAAGTATATAAATTGACCTATCTATTTGTAAGTAGTCAAAAAAAGTAATTACGGTTTTGTGTGTGTGTTCGCAGTGCACATGAGAAATCTGGAAAGTCTTTTGTTTACAAAATCGAAACGCGAGAGAGGGAGAAAAAAACACAAGCGGTTTGAGGTTTTTATATTATAAATATGAAGTTTGTTTCGCTGATGGCCATCAAAACGCAATAAAATTATATTATAATTTTGCCTATTGTCATGCAGTTTGTTCGATTGTAGGCGAAACAACTTATGCTTTTTTTGCTTCATTTCAAACTTGTATCGTGCTGTGGATGTGTGAAATTGAAATCCATTTTATTTTGGTGTCATTTTTATTGGACACTAAAGAATTTACCATTTTGCATATAAAAGCGACAATCGGTTGCATTTCTTTTGCTTCGTCATAAGCTCCATTCCTTTACGCCTGGAATGGAATATGAGAAGAGAGTGTATGTGTGTTGAGAAAAAGTGCGGAATTTGCCGTTATTGACGGAACACGAACGTTATTTCAAGTGTAGCAGTAAAACAACAACAACAACAAACAACGAGAAACATCACAACAACTTGTTCACCTCAAAATTTCTATTGAATTACTTCAGGTTCATGAGTTTTTTTTTGCTTTGAATGCAACAAAGAACTGGATTGGTTGTTCATTCTCATCTGATTGAATATCTGATTACTTTGGCAACATAATTCCATGTGTCGTTATTTAATGAATAATTCATCGAAGTGAATCAATATTAGTGTGTTGAATTAAATGAAAATCATTTAATGAACTGGAGCGCACCGAGAATTATGCTATCGGATTGAATGAGCGAGAAATAGAGCGAGAGACAGAGGAAGCGGCGGGAGAGTGCTGTTGATGTGATTATTTTGCTGCATCGATTACATTAAATATCACACACAATTCCACAGCATCGCGCATAAGTAATTTTTCACATTCGTGCGCACACACCGAATCAATCAGGTATTTAAGATAGAATGGGATGCTGCGATTCGGCAGCGCTGGAATAATACGATTGAAAGGGAAAATATAACAATTACGGTGCGAATCGTATTTACTCGCCGAAACAATTACGGTCCAGATCAAGGTTCTTTGCAAGCTCGAGAGAAGAAAAAAAAACAGCAACATCAGCAACGGCAACAACAACAATAACGGCGGAATTCGAATACATATGTTTGTATGTGAGCATGCGCAAGCGTCTTTTTGATAATTGTGTATATGGTTTATGGCCCATGATTTGGTTTCCCTTTCTATTTACCTGTCAGCCCAATGTTGTTTACCTCTTACACACGATCACAATTACATTCGTAGAGAGACATGATTATTTTTTTTGTTTCTCTCCATTTAGATTCGAATTCAAAGTTGATGTGTCTCTTTTCCTTTTCTGAGATAGTGACGACAATCGTCACGCACACACAGACACGCACAGCACACCAAAGGGATATTGCAACTTTTTTGACCAGAAAAAACGCCATCTTACGTCGTGCCCGTAAATTATTTTACTGTACATTTAGATGGTAGAGCTTGAACAAAAGTTCGACACTATGCATAAACTTGGAAAGATCTTAATAAACTTGATGAAATACATATATTTTATGGTCGTTGCAATACCCCTATGCAGCACACACACACACACATCGCGAAAGAGAGAAGTGTACAGTAAAATAAAATTAAAAGCAGCACCGTATGAGCACCAACAACAAACAAACAAACGAAAAGAAAAAAACTACAGGTGAGTGCTAGTTAGTACAAGAGAGTCAATTTACGCGCATTTATGCGGTGTATACATGCTGTTGGCATGCACACGGGGCTCGCGCGTTCGCCATCATTTGGCTATATAGTAAAATACGATGGAAAAAAAAATAACTGGGAATTTGTCAATGAATAAACACAATCACGCGTCGTCAAGAAAGAGAAGCGAGTCACATTCATAGACCACAACACAGTGTAAAGCACACAAACAAACGAAAAACCAAATAAAACGAACGAAAAGAAGCAAGAAGCACAAAAACAACCAAAACACACTCACACCACACAGCAAATAGCATACGTATGTTTCTCTCGTCAACCGGGGCCCCGAACTGGAAAACGCCAGGTAGTTCAGAGACGTGCTCACGCTAAATGATTTAGTTGTAAACGAACACAAAATTAATTCGTACCTATTTTTTCTGTCGTTGTGCCTCTCTCTAGATGAAACAAAGTCAGTCTTGTTTCCAACCGTTACTACAGTCATATTGCACGCAAACACCTCAGAAGAAAAAGAAGAAAAAACATTCCAACCGACCTTTGTGCAACGGAGCGACCAATGAAATTGGGAGAGATAAAGAGAGAAAAAAAGCCATAAATAGTTTCAAGATACCACAGAAAAATCGTTGGAAATTTTTCGTCGCGGAAAATCGTCGAAATTGTTGAAATTTGTCGGCACACAACATCGAGTGATAGAAATAAAAAGAGTAATTAGTTCATTTATGATTAGCAAATTGTGGAATTGAGCATAAGGAAAAGCGTGCAAGTGACGAAATCTCGAACAACATACAGTAGAGTGGCAGAAACAGCAGTAGCAGCAGCAGCACAGCTGATAGTGGCTCAAAGCAAAGAGGCGAACGTGAAATAATTCAAGAAAAGAAGAAAAAAGAAAAAGAAATAGCAACTACAACAACGACAACAACGTGCACTCAGAGTCGTAGAGAAAGAGAGCGCATAAGTGCGCTCAACATACTTCACTTCGTCCACCAACAAAAATGTGAAATACAAATCCAGTTTTTTCGCTTTTTTGTCATAAATGAAGAAATTTCGTAGTAGACAAATCATAAATATTATACCAACAAATGAAATTGTGTAAATTAGTGAAGACAACAACAACCACAACGGCGGCCGCATCAACATTAATCGTATTCGTGTTACGAATCATAGCCGTTGCCGCGACCAAACTACAAATCAGTGGAAAGAAAAACATGATTCCAATGGTCGTACTCATATTGTTCGGCATCAGTATGAATTTAGTACGTGCAGAAAATCAATATCGACAGCCGCATCAGCAACAGCAACAGCGTTACCAAAACAATAATAATAATCGACAGCAACGAATGCAGCCAAATGTATCCGATGCCACCGACGACTCAGCCTATTATTACGAGTGCGTGTTATCGAAAATGAAATAAAAAAAAGCAGAGAAAAACAATAGCTCTACATATCATGTAGTGCTAAAAGGAGAAAAAAACAAAAAACAGCAAAACAGAGAATCGTCAATTAGGACAAATCAAATTTGGAAGATTTTAAGCAAATTTCCTGCTGATCGGAATACAAAATTGGCGCGAAAGAAGGAACACACACACCTACAAAACGACAAAAAGTATTCGCGTCTAGTACCCATTGTGTGTGTGTGTGTTTGTGATGTCTGATTAGCAGAAACAGAAATATTCGCTTCTCAATGCTAGATTTGTTTTGTTATATTTGTTTCTTTTCTCTATTCGCTGTGAAATTTTGTTTTGATCGGTATTTTAATTATGTTTTTTTTCTGTTATCTTTTTTTTCCAACCAACAAAAATAACGTTTCCTCAATGAATGGCCTTTCAATCTTTGTTCGGGTAAAAAACACACCAAACACAACGAAATATTTGAATGCAAATCGCCGTATTGCTTACATTGAATTTGGATACATTCCGTTCGCGGTGTGTAGAGATGATGAGGGCGATGAAGGGACGCAAGCCACCAATATCAACGAATTATTCGATTTTGCATTGGAGCTGCTGTGGGCGCTGGTCACCAAAAATGGGTGGGACCAGACCAAACTTCCCGATATATCCGAAGGATTTTCATACGTGAGTAATTGTAACCTTTAATTTTCGGGCCATATAATGGACACAAAGTGAGCGCAAACATGCATCGAACGCCGAAATCAAATAAAAACGTTCATTAAATTTTCGGGTGAAGAGAAGCGAAAAAAACAGCAGCCGACAGGCCGACTGAAAGAGAAAAAAAAAACAATTCGTGGAAAACGGCATGAAATTGTGTGTAGTGAAACAATTTAATAAATAATTTTGGTATTAAGTAATGGAACCAAAAAAAAAAATCGGTGTTATGTTCAGTGTTTGGATTACGTGCGATGAATTCAGTTATGTTGTGCAAAAAAAGGAGCGCGCGCGCATTCGCAAACATGATCACTCACAAAATGTTTGTCGGCGACCACTTTATGCACCAATTTCTCAAATGGCTTCCATGAACTGTCATAAACAAACATATTTATATAAATGCTCTTTTTTTCATACGTTTAATCCTATGTCTTGTGTGATTTCAGCGGCCTTTGCTAATCAATTATAATGGTAATGTAATGAGTCTATTTTTGAACAGATTTTACAAAAAAAATACGATAGAAACTAACAACACTATTTAAATATTCTCCGATCTTTTTTTTTTCGACAAAAATCAGCCGGAATCTTGATGACAAACGGAATGCTGTGGAATATACATAAAATTGCTAGATACGGTGATACTTACATGATATTGGATCGTCATAAGCTTAAGTTTTCGGGAAATTTACTCATTGAAAAAGTTAATGTGAGTGTGATTTTATTTCATTTTGTTTGGTTTCTCATCGATATCTCCTCTCATACCCGCGAATCATTCACAATGATTCATTCAAATATATGTCTTTCTCATGAAATTGTGTAATCAATGAATCAGAAAACGCCGAAATCGACCGGATTACTCTCCGTATATAGCCAAAAGTGGTTGCAATCAATTTGATGCCAGAAAATAACGGCAACAACAAAACGAACAACGCCAATGCTTACCATGTATTTATATGTACTGCCGATAGCGAATATATTGAACTTCGACGACTGTGTCAAGAACATGTAAAATTTTCGATTGATACACAGCCGAGACATTTTCGATTTGCGTCTGTTATTACTATGCCAATGCCAAGTCCGTACGAAAGAGAAAAAGGTGAAACATGAACAAGATGGAAACAGAGACGCATAATTATCGATCGAATAGAGTTCTATCTTGTTGTTGTCTATGTCTCTATATTTTGGTGTGCCTATCATCGTTCAAAAATATCTGTCGGTTTTGGCTGATGGTCTACCATCATTATAATCTCGGTAATCGTGCAATTTGTTCAATAATACATAGTGTTTTCAGTGTGTCAATTGTGTGCCTTGACAATATATCCACAGAAAAGAGAAACAATCTCACTCAATCATCGAGTGCGCGATTGACGAAAGACGCACATTCAACAATAGAAATGTTTGTGTTCAACGGTTGTTTCGGTTGTCATCGAACATCAACCATGTTGACCTCCTCCAGTGTTAAATTCAATCGATTGTCTGTATTTGTGTGTGTGTGTGTTTGTGTGCTCGCGTTCAGTTTTGCTCCGCATATTTCGATGTTAAATTCAATTTTATGGCTAAAATGTCGATAGATTTTTTGTGCAAAAAACAAATACCAACGACCGCAATCGAGGAAAATATCTTTACATTTTACGCCAGAAGCAGCATAGTTACCGCTGTCGCAGCAGCAGCAGCAGCAGCAGAAGAAGAAGTGGCAGAAAAGCACAGTTAATCATTTCACAATATGTTTACTTGAGCAGCTAATTTTTGCATCATACATTTTTCATCATGTGACGTGCGTTTGATTAATTCAACAGCGATAACAAAAAGTAACAACGACAAAAAAAATTAGACTAATAGAGCTCGTGCTCTGTATTCACAAATACAGGGCGGATACAACAACAACAACAACAATAAAAAAACACCTGAGCCGAAGGACCCGAATCAGATAGATTTTTTCTTGTGATTGCCATAGCCATGATTATGAGTACTCCTCTATCTCACTCGCATGATGAAGCATTTATCATTTGACGATTTGGCTAATTAATTCGGCGGTTTGCGCAGTACAGCTTAACGTGCGCGCACGCTTGCGCTCCGCTCAATGTTTACACATTTTGACTGCTACCACCGCTGGCCAACACCGCTAATTTTTTCATAGTTTTAATGGGTCGCATGCCATGCGAACAACATTTAAAAAGGAAGAACAAAAACATACCGGTAAAAGTGAATTTATCGGCGCCACAGGTTTTTTTCGCTTCTACTGCTCAAGGGGGAAATCACTAGAAAGTAATTGCAGTAATAGCAAAGTAATAGTTGAAATTCAAAAGTAATAGCAATTATTTTTTGTGTAACTATTACTTTGCTATTAACTTGCTATTATGTCCAAAAATCAACAATTACATTGCTATTACTTTATTTTTGCTATTAGTTTGCTATTACTTTTCAGATTTGCATGGAGAAAAGTAATAGCAAATAGCAAACTAATTGCAAGCAATAGTGGCCAATAGCAAAGTAATAGCTGAGTGATTCCCCCCTTGCTACTGCTGCTGCTGCTGCGTCGAACATCTACCAATGTGTAGCAATAATAATGTCGCTCGCACCTCTCTTACTCTCTGTTTGCGCGCGCGCGCCTTTCAATATTCCACAGTGATGGTAGCCTTCAACTTAAAAGAATTGCCTAATCTGTTTAATCGCGGTTTTTTCGGCATTTTTATTTCATTCCATCAGTTATTTATTCGCTCCATAGACGGACACATTGCCATTCTTCAAGCGCGTTGCTGCTTCGATTTTTAAACCATCATTCAGTTTGCATCGCTTTGCATCTCGATCGATGTGTCGATGTGGGAAGCCTCGAAAATTATACCTTCAGCCATCCAAAAAATTCATCGTGTCACATGCTCAATACGCATAAGTTCTACGATGAATGAAACAGCAACAACCACAACAGCAGCACCAACAGTGTACCACCAGCGAAAAAAGAGTAACATTCAAGCGGCTGGTAGTTTCCAAAAACCACGCAATTATATTCAAATTAAAGTGAACTATACACTGCAATCGCAATCCTCTCGTCGATGTGCTCGGCACAGAATGGTACAACGTTCACCGCGTCGCTGGTATGGGACATGATGTAGATTCATAGATATGTAAATAATTTTATGGCTTTTGCTGAGTCTCGAAGTGATTGCAAACCGCACTCGCGCGACTGCATTATTCAATGAAATTCAGAAATATAATCGAACATATGTTGAAGCGAATGGAATTTCACGAGAGACAGTCGCGTCGCGCTCTGTGTATGTTGTGTGTGTTGTTGTATGGAGAGTGCATGCCGATTGAACTGTTGGTACCATGTTGAGTGTAAGTCTGGTATCGCATCACAGTGTGCAATGTGATGGGTGCGCGTTGCGCGCGCTAGCTCCAGAGAGTGCACACTGCACACGTTCCAAATAAGCATTTGTAGTGTTGAAGCATTGACAACAACTTTAATAAACACACATTCGGCCAGATGACATGCACTAGGAAATTTCTCACTCGCGAGTGAATCGCCACGCGGTATCACTAGCTAGCGCAGGATAAAAAAGACACGAAATTATTGCCGATTTGCCACAAATTGATGTTTCTCATTCCAAACTGAGTGTTATGCTTTATGCACGCCAGACAAACAAAACGCCGCGGTTCGGCGTTAAGTTGGCCATAAATTATTGCAAATACACGTGCATACAGTCGATGCGGTTGCTCATAAGTTTTGCACAATATAACAGCGAGTCGTTTGTTAATTATTTTACGATTGTTGCTTGGCGTAGATGCAGAGCGAGCAAGCGAGTAATACTCGCCGAGTACTCAACAAGTATTTGAGGTGAACCGAAGTCGGGCGGAAATCGGGCGTGCATTGGCGCATTTCTTCTATGCATTCACCGCGGCACACATACTATATTTGCCACAGTCTAAATTGAGTGTGTTCAATTAACGGCACAACTTATGCAAAGCAAAAACCAATTGATTATGCTTTGACAACGATTGTTTTTCATGCCAACGCAAATCATCTACAGAACAATCGACGGATTGATTGAAAGCACATTGCGAAATTAACGAAAGCAACAACAAAAAATACACAGATGCCGATCAATTCACTTTTTTTAATCGTGTTTTTTCCTATTTTTTCAGTTTAGCTACGATGTTAAGGCTGATGTTATGGGCTTGGGACCGACGATAACCGTTGATGGAACGGTTGTCGAAACCATATTGGGCAGTGATTTTTCCATTCCGCTCAACGACACCAATTTCAATTTAGATGACTTAAAAATATTGTCACTCGGTCACATCCGTGTCCAATTGACCAGTGGAAACCTACTGCGAACGGTGTCGGGTCCATTTTTAACCATAATCACGCAATTATTTCGCGCCAAAATCAGTACATCAGCATCGGATGGGATCAAGGACTATGTGGCGGATTTGATGAAATATGCAAATAAAATTGATTTATTTGAATTGAAAAAATCCCTTCGAACACTTCTCGGTAATCTGAAGTCAGCCTATAAAATTTAATTTATTCTTTACCAACTAAAATACAAACAACAAGGAAGAAACAAGATAGAACAATTGCTAAATGTTTAAATTTAGGGATAATATGTTATGCTAAAAAAGAAGCGAACGAAATGACAAAACGAAAAGTAATCATTTTTTATAACCAAAGAAGAAAAAAAAACGAACAGAATAATCTTGAGTATGGCTTTTTCATTATTTTCTCTGGTGCAAACATAATGTGGTGTGAAATACGTACTGTACATGAAATTTGCTCTGATAAATAAAGAGTTCGCTGTCGACCAGCCAGTGATATCATCATCGAACAATTGATTGATTAGAGTTTTTTTTCTACAGTCGCCATTTTGCTCATCTGTTCCATAAATGACTTTCAACATAACTGACACGTCATTTTTTGTTGCTTTCTATCCGTTTCGTAATCGATGTTGTTCGAATTTCTGCAATCAAAAACACTTGAAAGGTAAGTAGAATTGTTCACTCTCTCTTCAAGTGGACGCTCTCAAAGCGTAGCCAATGCTCAATCAATGAGTTTCCCAGAAGGTTCATAATGTTACTAACCAACATTCGGTTGAATGCGAATTTTCTTTTGAAAATCTATCATGAATTTAATGCAAATTAATTCGACCTTGGACAGGTAGTCGCTTTTATTTCCTGAAAAAAAGATGTTCGACATTTGACTGATTCAATGTGTGCTTGTGCGTATGATTTGATCAACATGCATAACGCACGCAATTTGCATTCCATTTTAAATGGAATATCTTGATTTGATTTAGTTTGGTCTGGGAAAAGTTCAATTTGTGTCAGCCACAGCAACATTTTTGTTTTCGAATAACAATTTCGAAAAGTAATTATATTAACCAACAAAATGTTATCAAATTACACGAGCTACGACGAAAGGTAAGTTTCAACTCAACAGTCAATGATTTCCGAAATATGATGACTTGAAAATATGATGAAAACAATGAAATGCACACTTGAAAAATTCATTGAAATATGGAGCATATACGCTTTGAGCAATGGGTGAACTATTTATAATTTTCGAGAGCCATTTCGAAAAGTTTCTTGTTTGTGGCTTTTGAGGTAGCATATTGCAGTGCATAGATAACATTTATTGCTTTTTTTCAAGTGAGCACCAACTTTGTTGCTCAACTGAAAATATTGAAACTGGGATAATACACACACACATGCATACTGCGCATATGCCATGCGTGTGATTAAATTTACAAGTTAATTAGGATGTGGAAATATACGTGGAAATAGTACACTATTTAATATCAATTTTCCATGAATTCACAAAAATAGAAAAAAATGGTATTAAATAAAACTGTGTGTTTTGCGGCCTTGATACAAATTTATTTAAAGTGATAAAATGTGTTATCGTTCTATTTAATTTAATCTCTGGTTGACTACGTAAATAATCGAGGGGCAAATCACTCTTAGGTATTACTTTTACATAAATGGTATTACTTGGTATTACTTTCCGTACAAATCAAAAGTAATACCAGGTGTATTACTTCTATTGATCAGTATTACTTGGTATTACTTGGATATAACTTTTTTTCGGTATTACTTTTTTCATAGAAATATCAAAAGTAATACCAGAGGTATTACTTTTCTATTTGGTATTACTTTTGAGTGATTTCCCCCTTGTAAATAATAATAATCCCACAATCAAAAATAAATTCGAATTCCAACCGTAATTCGATCACAGGTGCACCGGGATTTGCACAATAGATTAATTAGGGCCATTTTAAATGGACATGCTAAGCGCAACCAATTTTATGTAAATCTTGTCAATAAATATTAATCGAACATTGAAATCAGTGCACACGTTAAGGGTGGCGAGAGGAAAATACAGAGAGAGAGAGAGAGAGAGAGAGAGGGGAGCCATAAGAATTAATACCAATTTCGAATTGAAGCGTTTTGATGACACTTAATTGATGACATGGAAACATTTTAATCGACACAAAAAATCAATTAACACATTGTTCATCTGAATTGAGACAGTGTGCAGCGTGTGTGTGTGTGTGTGTCAGTGAAAAATTGAAGAGCTGCGCCGCCGTTTGAAATCAAACCAAATACAATTTTGTGTAATTGGTTCAACAGTTTAGCAATTAGTGTAATATGAATGTGGCATTTGGATGTCTTTATTGTTTGTTCCGAGCCAACGGCGATTCTCTCAAGCCCAATTTAATTTTTCACAGTTTCATTTTCATTTGACACTGTCGATTTGCTCTCGGATATTGATATCAATCGTGTACACACAAAATCATCATCGCCATTTGGTGTCTCTCTCTCTCCTTCATCGCTGTTGTATGCGTGTAAAAATGGCCTGGTGTGCAGTGTGTGTGTGACACATAACACACAGTAGATCATTTCCATCAACCAATTTCAAATACGATTGTGCTTGCACCACAAAACAATACTAATTAATGTTAATATAATTTAATTTTTGTTATTAAATCAGATTATGGAACTTATACTGATTATAATTTCAATTAATGTTTATTGAACAGTGTTTTATGGCCGGGCGAGTGTGAGCGAGCCAGCCAGTAAGGCTGATTATAGTTGCAAAACTCTGTTTGAGGGTTGTACTCACTACTCACTGGGTAAAATACTATGGCATTTCCAATAAAATTGATGAATTGAATTGAGAGAGAGATGAGACCGCGCGCGCTGAAGAGACAAAGAGGATGGTTGCATAGCCACAGGAACATGACATTAATGAAATTGTGAATAATTGAGGCATGCTGCTATTCAATTGATTTTGGTTAATATTTTGACACTTAATGCACTTGTCAATGTGGTGATGAAAGAAAATGCTGTTTGAGTTATTGGTGCGCGCGAAGCTGCGTATGGGTGATTCATGGTCAAGTTCATCGCATTTTAATCGCATTGCAAAATGATTTCCAATTAAATACCATCATCGTTAATCTGATCAAACCGGATTTGTTTCCGATACCAGCCGTCCCCTTCGTTTCCTATTAATTAGGAAGCAAATTCATTTAACTGGTTTATCTCGGTTCTTTGGCACACGAATCACATTTCATCACCGTTATGTAATCGGGTGTTGAGGCATTTTTCCCAAATGGATATTATCGAATTTAGGCAATTGGACGGAATTTTCGTGAGAATCAAGTGTAAAGCACGAAATGGCTATCTGCTGCGGAATGCAATTTGGTTTGGTGACCCGAACGAGATGGATTGATAAGCGAAAATGAACTCGGCCGAATTGCAGCGTATGTTTTTCTCTCTCGTTTGATTGGATTTGATTACTTCGAGTCCATTGGTTTATATTAAACTAAATTAGTAGTTTGTTAGAAGTTCGTTAACGGCTCTTGCGCGCGGCGGCCGCACATTTTCGAAACCTAGGAAGGTTGCATTATTAATATTATTGCTTTAAATTATTTTAAATTTAAAAGTGAAATTTAATTTTTGCCGATGTGATATAAACAAAATCAAAATCATTTTATTGCCCACTTGGCGGCCACACATTAATTTTTAGTTTGTTTTTATTTTCGTTCACGGTATTACACACCGCAATCGCCGCTGCAGCCGTGGCCGTGCAACGCCGAAGCATTTTTGCATAATGCATTTGATTTGGCGCTTCGGGATGATGCTTTGCAATTGGCCTGCTCTCTCGTGCTCTGGCTGGAATTCATTTTTCGTGAATCATCCCCGCAATCGCTGCGCTTTCAATCAATTTGCTCGGACCAATTTTTATTAGATTGTTTAATTAACGTTTTGTTTTATATTCAACTTGAATAATGAATTGAATGGAACAATAACAACAAATAATTTCAATTTGTGTTGCGTACAGTATGGAATATGCGATTGTGGTGCTTGGATATGTGATTAAATCGGCAGTGATTTATGGACATTCTCTCGCTGAAATGATATTAATTTCGATGCGTTAACGGTACGTTCTGTATTTTCGATCGATGAAGCGACAAATACGAGAATATTGAAACGAGGAAGTGAATTTTGCCTTGAACATTAGACATTTAAGGCTTTCGCCTGAACAAATTCATACTTGAACTATTCCCACATTTCAATTTGTGAATTTGTGTTTGAGTTTCTCTATCTCCCTCTGTGTGTGTGTGTTTGTGCGCGCACATAATGAAATATCGCATCTCCCAAAAAATTTAAAATATCTCTAAAACAGCTCGACAAACGTCCAAAGTGTTTTGCGCATCAATGAAGATAAATTGATGCTTTCAATGATGATATACATTTCACGCCGTGCTGTGTGTTTGATGGAAATTTTTCCGTAGCTGCATCGCATACAGAAAACGGCTCCGACAAATCGGTTTCGAGATGTGACTATTTTGCGCACATTAGTTGTATTCGAAATAGCGATCTATGTATTTCTCAAGAAAAGTTTCGTCGCATGACGTTGATTCACTCACCATTATTATGTATCATCGTCGTCATCATCATGTACCCGTATTATGCCAAACAACAAAAACGACCCGCGCGACCATTCTGCCACAGTTATTCATATTTTACGACAATTTCAAATTGCTCATTTCGAATCCCACACTCTCGACCCGAAGCCCACTCCAATCGCCGCAAAAACGAAAATGAAACACATACAACAAAAAAAACGACGAAGAAATATTCATTTCGAACAAACCATTCATTAAAATATATACACATTTTTCCCCTTCGATCGTAATATTTTTTGCTTGAACTTTGACTCGATATGGAAATTGTACGAACGCGCGCACATAAACGGCAATGTCAGAACGTCGTTGTGCGCAAGAGTGTGAATCGGACAGAATCGAAAAAAACAGAGAGAAAGAGAGCGAAGTGAACGACTAATAGTATGAGTGAACCATACACGTGACCCCTATATGAACTCTCAAACATATTTTATTGACTATTTCAGTAGCGCGTCAAAAGGCGCGAGCAAGAGAATATATTGAAATTGATGGTAAGAATAGACGAATGCATGCGCACCACGATCCCCGAATCCATCGTGCGCAATAGAGAAACATAGCCGATCGATGAAAATTCACACGAGGCAAAAAGCACCACACTCATAAAGTCATATACGCATCGATATGTAGGCAATATTGTGAATGGTCCGTGTGCGCAATGGCAGGAGGAGCCAGCATAATTTTTTCTGTTGTTGTTTTTTCATTCCTCTTTTCTTCTTCCTCAAAAATGCCATACACTAAGCAGGGCTAAGTCGATTCTATGCTCATTTTATTTGTTTCAGTCTGTGTGTATTTGGATGATGCCAATGCATGCTGTCTGTCACGCTGTCATACACCATTGCAGGAGCCGTAGGAACGTAATAAAATGTAGCATCGAACAATATGGTCTTCGTGAGAACGAACAGCGAACGAGAGATGAAATATCGAAACAGAGCACACGATAAGCGGGCTATCCACTCTATACACACAACAAAGAGCAGAAAGGAAAGAAAAAGAGAACAAACGATTCACAAGAATTTTTAGGGCACAAACTATAACGTTATTATGACGATTTTAGTCTCGTCTGTACGAACATGTGCTCTTCTATTGGCTACTGGGGCGGAGTTTAAACGATCCTCTTAATTGGGTATAAATTGACGAACCGTTATGATATTAACATCATTCTCATTTTAAATCTCGCCCAGAATGCGAGCTAAAAGAAAGTCCTGCTTCTAAGTCGAGAATTTCAACACTAACTTTTTGTTCTAACTAAAACTCGTGACGCTTCGTCTAAAGTTTTTTTTAAGTTTTCCATAAATTTGTTTTGAAAGAAAAAGAAGAAAAGTTCTATTCGATAATTTTAATTAAATTCAATGAAAAAGTATAATAAAAAGTTAAATTTTGTGGTGATTTTTTACAATAATTGTAACCAAAGTAATCCAAACCAAAGTTTTTGATTTAATTATGAAAGTGAAACATGACCAAAAAATAAATTTGTTATTTTGTTTGATTAAATAAAATCGATAGAAAATTCATCAAAAGTATTAACTAGTCACAGTGCAAAATAACTCATTCTGCGGAGTGATTAAAAGATATTTTATTTGATAAAAATCTTGAAAAGAACATTCGATTGATAAAAATCGGCATTTCAAACATTTTTCCGTCGCTTTGTCTCCACTTTATAACCAATCACAAGAAGAATCATTCAAAAACCCAGTTTCAAGTGCCTTTTAAAGATAAAAAAACCGGGGCAAAGCGAAAAGTTCAATTCTGTGAGCCACCAAAAAATGGAAACATCTTCATTCGACGATCAGATTTTTAACGATTTCACTGGTCCATTAAGTCCGCTTGGTGCGAAACAAATAACGCAAGGTGGTCACAGTATACACGTGATGCTCGGCATGAATTCGACTGGATCACCGGACATGTGCAATCAGCGTTTGCCTGAGGTGCAAAGTCTGTTGCCCGGCTCACCAAAGCTAACGCATTACAAAGCGCTCGATTACATGGGCAATAAAATCGATTATAACACGAAATTGGCATCGTATTCGCCGACACCGCCGCCAAAATATGAGTATGTCAATGGGAAAATGGATCAATACTCACCGAATCACATGCCAAAAATCGAATACAAGCCCATGGATTACAATTTAAATCCGAAAATGGAATATGGCAACGCTAAACTGGAATATGATCCACACATGCAAATGTATCAGCAACAACCTGTTTCGGTGGTGCCGCCAACATCAACGCATCACATTTCAACATCGCATTCACTGGAATCGCCGTTGATGAACGATAAAAAGAAAGCCGACGGTCAATGCGATCAATCGGACAATCAATCAGTTAGTCAATCCGACGCATCAAGCACATCAAAGAAGAACGATAAAAAGAAAGGCGATATCAATGGTGTTAAGAAGAAAAAAACAAGGTAAAAAAATGCCTATGGACAAATGCCATGTGATGGATAAATATCTAAAAGCGAGCAAAATTCTTTGAAAAAACAAAAGAATGAGCGAAAAAAACCGAATTGGTTGGTGCTGAATTACGAATTTTTCATCCTTTCAGAACAACGTTTACAGCCTTTCAGTTGGAAGAATTGGAGCGTGCCTTTGAACGTGCACCATATCCTGATGTATTTGCCCGAGAAGAACTCGCTCTTAAGCTGCATTTGAGCGAATCTCGAGTTCAAGTTTGGTTTCAGGTATGCCGTTTTTTTTTTTCATGTGTACATTTTTTCTCTCCGATCCGCATTGTCATTCGATTTCTTCGAAAATTTATCAGAAGAGGATTTTTTTCCGCTGTCTCGACATAATTCATGGAATAAACGAAAATATTCATTTACAGAATCGTCGTGCTAAATGGCGTAAGCGTGAACCACCCCGCAAGTCAGGTTACATAAATACGAATAGTCCATCGACAGCGCTTGGTACACCGTTGGGACCGCCATTTGCTCCATTCCAGCAAAACACAGCGGTCAGCCCACCAGGCAGTGTCGATAGTTGGACAAGTTATCAATCGCCATACGAACTGAGTCCACATTTCAGCCTATTGTCACCAGCGGCCAGCCCATACGGTTCATTTTCGGGTCAATATGGTACAGCTTATGTGCATGAAAATCAATTGTATCCCGTGCGCCAGCACTATGAGTACGGAAGCCCACCGCGCGTTGCCAACGGTGAAATCGATGATAAAACCGACCATTACACAACCGCAATGGATGACAAATATGACAATCCATGCACCGAAACGTAAGTTCCGATCAAAACTCATCGAGATTCTCGAAACCATAATCTTGTTCTATTTCATAGCAGTAGCTAACTAATTTTTTTTCTTTTTTTTTCGCTCTTCCTCTCTTTCTCTCGTTTAGCGTTCCGAATGGAAAATACATGGACGAAATAAAGTACAGCAATATGCATAACGTCGAACCGAAGTACACAAATTGTCACATCGATGATCATTCGATAAAAACGTTGCCGCCGCCATCGTCAACACAGCAGTATGCAACAACAACAACGACCAATTTAACCACAGTTGGTGGTTGTCATACGGACGATGTCACTGATAATATGACTATTAAATCTGAAGATGCCAACGTTACGCACAGCTATGTTTTGCCTCCTTTTTTACATTGAAACGGACCGAACTATGAGCATCGCATTATCAATGTTTTTAGCTACGATGTAAATATGATGTATATTAGGTATGTGTGTGTGTGTGTGTGTGTGTGTGTGAGTGTGAAGAATCCAAATGGGCATTAAACTGCTGCGAACAACACACGCATTCCATACCTATTATTTTCGCGCTCCAATAAACAACTGAGAGCCCTGCTGTCAATGGACGATGAGCTATTGATTTTTATTGAATGCCAACGAAAAATGCCTTCAGTTTATTTTATTTTATTTTATTTTATTGAAAATCATTACTTTTATTTTTGCTTTCATTCAGTTTTATTTAAAGTTTCTTTTTCTTGCCTTTTCTGCGTGTCCGTTTATATAGTGTTTGTGCGTTTTTGTTGTAGATTTTTAACGAGAAAAGTTTCATTTAAAAAAAAATGTCTTATTTTTCGTCAGATAATGCAATTTGATAAGGATGACAGTCGGCATAAGCTGAGTCATTCGAGATGTTGCAGAAATAATGGATTACGGGTGAAATTCGAATCGTGAATAAGTTCACACAATCGAGTTCAAGGAACTCCAAAGAGATTTACAGTAATTTTACAATTAGTATACATTTTTTTCATTCGGTTCTTGAGACAAGTCTTCGTTATCAAATAGCACCGATTTGAGTTTTTATTCAGTGAACTATCGAATTCAATTTAGAAATTAGATTTAATTTAATTTAATGTTGTTTGTCCGCAACAAAATCCAAAGACGTCTTGCCAAAACAGTATTCCATATATTTAAGCCTTGAGTGTTGATTTAAATCGGTCATCACATTCTTTTTTAGCCTTAAGTGTATAACTCTAATCAATGTGCATTCCAAATGTGCCTTCATTATTTCGACTAGTTCCGAATAATTTACATTCTAAATTTTAATTATAAAATTACTATATTTGTTAAGGCATCCAAAGAACAATTTCAAACCAAAATTATTCCAAGAGCCAAAATAATATCGTAGAAATAAGAGGAACATGAAACGAACGCTAAATTTTAAGTTTTGTACATTTGAAAAGCATGAGCTGCTTTTAGTTGTTTTTGAGAGCATTTGGTGCAATTTTTTTTCTGATTTCTCAAGCAAAATGATCAACAAACTCATGTAAATAGATCGATGGAGTAAATTGTTTTTCTCATTTATGTTTAACACTATTTTATGCCAAATACGTATAGTGACTAAATATACTCAATTATTTTTTTGTTTCTTCTCTTGTATTTTATGACCAACAACTTATTTGTTTGACCATTTCTTCCATTTCCCAACTTTCATCATCGTTAAATTCGGCGGCGCGTGAATTCAGGTAAATCCCTTCACCATTGAAACCAGATTTCTTTTCTATGGTGTATACGCATAGTCGCAATAGTTCTGATTTACTCAATTGTTCTGGGTTGATATTCAGTCTTGCCGTTTCCACAGGATCTTTCAGCCGGTCGAAAAATTCTTTTATTTCGTCTCTGGAAGCGAATAGTTATCATTTAATGATTAATGAATGAATTGATGCTACAGCTGAAAGAAAGCTGTGAAGACTCAAAAGAAATCACAATATCATAAATTGATTGACTTACATTGAATATAGAATAATGGGCAGATCTTGGAAGATGTCATCATGAGTGAATCCTTTATTCAACAAATACTCAATATTTTCATGAACCACGGGAAATGAAAACATCGACGAGTGTGGATGAATCTGTAGAGCCTCATTGATTTCATCTTTTGATTTGTTGAAAACTTTACACAAATAGAATAGTAGCGGCCTATTCTTTCGAGTTATGAATCCATTCAAACAAAAACTGTGGAACAAATTTAGAAACTTGAATGAAATGAAATGATTGTTCCGTATAATTTTACGTAGATCGACGTGAAATTAGACTGAACAGTAAATTGATTTTTAAAATATTCCATTACTCACTTAACAAAAGTGTCACTGAACACTGAATCGAAGCGCTTTTTATGCTGTTTGGCATATATTTCGATAAGTCCCATGTTCACAATCACTTTTCCGATGGCAACGTGTTGTAGAAAGTCTTTACCATGTTTCAGTTTGCATATTCGATTGATGCGACTGCTCAATGTGTCAACGTTCATGAAGAATATTTTCGGTGCGAATGCAATGGCGTAATCAGGTACTTTATAATTGGCACAAATAACCTCAATTTCCCTGATGCGTTTCAAATTACATTTGGCTGCTATAGTCATAACCTGTTTCACATTAATACCACTAACAATGTCTACAGCCAGTAATTCTTCGATTTCTTCTGGTTGCATTAATAAAATAAATCTCGGCAGCTGGCTGACTGGTACTTTGTATGCATCTTCGAGCAGTTGCCTCGACCGATCAATGCTTTGAAGGGATCGTGTTTTTAGTCCGGGATAATATATCCACATTTCATCAATATCGGCTGATGTGTATTTGATGCGATTGAGCATATAGCTTCGAAGTGCCTGCCTGTGAATCGCTTCCAATCGCATTTGCCGATCGTAATTTGTATCAATGTCAGACTTCAGCGGAACTTTGGCCACCGTGAAAATATTTTCGATGACGTTGATATTTTTCGGTAGAAAATTAAAGCTTTGATTAAACTGCACCGACTTTGTCAAAATGTCCTTAATGTTGGCCAAACGATAGATGGTCACATTAGAATAACCAAGTTCGTGGAGCCGCTGGAAGTTGTTCAACAACTGAAACTCACTCTGTAGCAACACACTTGGATGTATTCTTATGTCGCTAGCATCAAAATTTAACCGCTTGAGTCGTTGTAGTGACTTTTTCATCTCATCTGGTCGGACTTGAAGCAAAAATTTGTTTTTCTTCAATAATTTGGCAATCACCTCCTTTGGACGTTCTATTTGGAAAGAGAAATAGTTGAAAAATATATCAAGTTTATCCCATTATTTCATCATCATTTTAACAAACTTACTCATCTCGGATCGCAAAACACTTTCAATAGCTGCAGTTTGTGTGCAATATTTGACCACGCCAATCCATTTGTGCTGCTTGAGAATCTGGCCGCTATCCAATATCCATCTACACAACATCGTTTCATCGGTTATAGTCCGTTTTTCAACTATCAAATGGCCCAAATTTTTAAAATCCACAGGAGCGACTCGAATTTGTTGTTTGTTATTATTCTACAACTGAATTGTACTGTCAAAACAAGGTTACGTTTACAAAGCGAACAGTGTCACTTTGACACTAACGTTTCTCTCCACACTGAAAACAAAATCTCCACCCAATTTGTCAAATTCCATTGGAAGCGTATGGAAAGAAATTTATTTGAACACTCTTTCCAAGTTTGATATCATTGATGAGATTTTGAATGTGTCTTATTTTTGCGAAAGATAGATAAATAGAGAGAGGGAGAGAGAGAGAGAGAGAGAGAGAGAGAGTGGCAATTGTTGAGAAATTGCTTGTCTTTGCAACTTGCATTCAATTCCAAATGTTTGAGATAGCGTGAGATAGCCAAATGCTTATCAAAATTCAAAGGAAACGAACATTTCTCCTTCTACATAAACCGTCTGAAAGTTGGAAACTCCGACTCTGAGTTGACATTTCTCCGAATTGATATCAAGTAGATTCCGTCATGCCATGAAAATTCAACTGTGATTATGAGTAATATCGCATCTTTCTCTTTTTTCTTCGTTGCCTTTTGTTTCAGTTTACTTTCTTCTTCCTCTCGCACTTCTTTCTTCTCTGTTCACTTGACCTTTCAACCTTTCGAAATGCAAAACAAAGCCAAAGCCAAAATAAAAATGCCAATCGATTGATTTATATAAATACATTTATTTCTAAATAATTTCATTATAAATTAAAATTAACATATTCCATAACTAAAGGTGTTTCATTTCATTACATTTAATTTCATAAAAATAGAAGATAATTTGTTTGTCGCATCGTATAAATTGGTTTTTGTGTCTAATTCACGCTTAAATTCACAAATAAAATTTAATATGTGTGTTTTTTCTTGCAGTCAATAAAATAGAAACAAAGGAAACCTTTTCCCGAGAGTGTTTCTGTGTTTGACGTATTCTTCGTTGACACTGCTTTAGTTAGCTGATTCTCTTGGATTGAATCACCTGTCAAACGACAAATCTTTATCGGCTTCGGAATCATCATCCGAAGCATTTTTGAGTTATTAATTTTCCTTTATACATATATTCGTTTAGGTTTCTGCTTATTAAAAAAAATATGATGGCAAAATAAAGAACAATAAAATAAGGTCCGATAAGTTAAACAAAATTATTTCACTAAAAACGAGTATTAAGGAAACAAAATGCAACATTTCTTTTTCTTCTTGTATCTCATAGGCATCGAGATAAAAAAAAATTAAATCTTCGAGCGATGTCATCATATGGTTATTGCGACATTTAAAATCGTAGACAGAAAGAAGAAAAAATACTTTAAAACACAACAAATACGATTACAAATAGGGCTTATGTTATTCAAAAAATTCGTATATCTTCAAGAAAACATGAGCGAAAAATATGCGATCAAATGAACATTTGGGCTTTGTTGAGAGAGAAGAAAAAAATTCATCATTAACGAATAAACAAAAGTGTCATTCAAAAAAGTCTCGAACTGTTTTTCATCCGTAGATGTGGGTGTGTGTGTTTTACTCAAATAATTGAAAGATACACCTGTAATTTCGTTGACAGAGAAAAAAAAACACGAACAATTTCTTTTCTTTCGAAGCGGTGTGTGTTATTGAATGATCTCAAATGAAATGCAAAGTCATTGTAAGATGCCTCGAAAACAATTTTGGCAGTTGCTCACATCGTGATCGATTCTATATAAAAAAAACATACATGTACACCCAAAGTCATTGCCAAAGTGCGTATGAACAAAATACCACGTGAATCAGGTAATAATTATAATTTTCAAAAAAGAAACCCAAATGTTTATCAATGTGCCAGAAAAATTGAATTTGACTCATCATTGATTTTTTTTCGTCATCGCAAACACAAACGCACACAGAGAAGCAAATCGTTAGAGGTGACACACAGCCCAACATTTTAATCATAATAATGAATTTTGCGTTGCTTAAATGATTTTCTTCTTCTTCTTCTTCTTCTTCATTTTGTGTAAATAAATTCAAATGGTGATTCAGTGCGCAAAAAGTCGAATGTCGATGATTCAATATATATGGAAAGAGTTTGTGAGTTGTCCATTTATTGCATGTGCCGCTATCGTTTGACGTTACAGTCATTATGGCTTTTTGTTGTTGCTTTTTTTTTCTAATTAGAAAATTATTGTATAATGAAATACTCTGTGCTCATGCATTAACGGGAAAAACGAAACCGAAACCGAATCTCAATCATGAAAACCTAATTCATGTTCGTGTATGCATGACACAATTGTTACATACGGAAAATGAAACGAAAACCAAAACAATAAATTCCGCATTGTTTTGGATGGTGTAGGAATAGGTGAGTCCTTATATGCCCGCGTCCATATATACTTTGTTGTGAAAAAAATTACATCTTTATCTACTTATCATCGGCTTAATCATTATGTACAAATACAAATGCTAAGGTCCCTATTATTGTTTCCACATTTGCACTCTTGATGACACATGAACTAACTGTGTGTGTATGTGTGTGTGTGTGTGTGAGAGGGAGATTGTGTTAAAAAGAGACGTTGAAGTGAAGCAAATTCTCGATTATTTCATTTTGATCTTTGTCTTTTCTGGTGATTACTGCCGCAACGCAGCAATGCAACAATGATTGAAAAGAGAAAAAATTCAATGGCGAAGATACTTTGTACTTTTGATTCTCTCTCTATCTCTCGGCGAGGAGCTCTCGCTCGTTTCAATGGTTAAAAAAATGTGTTTTCTTCTTCTGTTTCTCTTTAAATTGCATTTGTTGATAAACGCTCATCCACGTAAAACTGACGGGTAAAGGAAAACCAACAACGAATCCCTACATCAAATGGTGTTGGCAAAAGTAATTAGCAGGAAGATTGCACGAATTGTTCGAAGCGGATCGAATAATAATTGAGCTACGTTGAGCATAATTATTGCTTTCAGCGTTTTCGAATAAGTGGCTGTTATTCAAAATTGAATGAATATATGGATTTATTTATTTATTTTTTTGTTTTTGTTTTTGTTTTTTTGATTGAAGAAAGCACCTGAGTTTTAAAAACAAACACATTCACTACAGGAGGGAGCAAATAGATTTTTAAAGTCTAGCATATTGTTGACTCGAAAATGGTGGTAGTAAAAAATAAAGTATTCACATGTTTTCATTTAGTTATCATTAAGATTATTATGACGTATACACCTATCAGCCCTCTTGCTCAGACACTTCAAGTCTATTTGCGTCTTTTTCAATTGGATAAAATTGTACAATTTCTTTCGTTTTGTGTTACCATTCCTTCCAAGAAAACAAAACAGGCAAAAAAAAAATAGAACAGAAAATTATGTGTTTGTGTCTTTTTCAGTGGTAATTTCGAACAAATCCTTAAAAATCGTTTCACATGTTCCAATTCAGGTAAAAGGTAAATAGATTATTTGTTTTCTTCATTTAAAATAACGATTTTTTCTTTTCTTTCTTCTTTCGTTTAACTTCATATTATTCAAACTTAAAAAAATATCTTCATTTCTATATGTTACATCTCATCTAATAAATCACACTTAAATCGTTTTGCTAGGATAAATTCTTTTAAAACTGTGTTGTTATTTTCTCCCTTGTTATTATTGTTGTTATTTTATAAGATCTCCTAATTCATAAATGCACATCATGCACAATCAACTGTGCACAATCAACTGTGGTGATCAGCGCAAACAAAGTGTGTGTGTATTTGTGAATATGTTACACTCTGTGATTGCTGCACTCACACTAGATTTGTATATGGGGGAAGAGGAGGAGAGGTTACTGCTAAATGTGTTTTGATGATGCAAATGAATCTCCTAATGATCGAAATCTAATTCGATGCATTTGTATCCCTTTTTTTCTTCTGCTTCTTTTCGCGAAGAAAAAATACACGATTTGCTTCTTTTTTTTCGTCTACACGATGATTTGGTGTCGATGTTAAGTTTTGCTCGTGTGTGACATACCATTCTCTTCGGACAGATACATGGCATAAATATTGTATATTGGCTAGCTATTCACACCGTGATTGTAGTGTTCGGTATTTACAATAACCTGTACAATGTACTGTGGCTGGATTTGTGCGTCCTCGACCAAAATTTTATCGCCCAACAATTTACCGCCGTAAAACCAACGTTGACAGCATGCATCAACATTTTCTTGTGCCTGGTGGAAATGAAAAGAGAACCGAATGAAATCCCACGTGAACCAAATAAAACAACAATGAAAAACCAAAAATAGTAGGTGTTTGTTTGAGGTCATGTTTGCAGTAGGCTAAAGGTCATCGTTAGCCACATCGATACATATGGAAAAATAACTTACTTGTAATTTCTTTTTACACTGGCCGATTGTGTCTTTTGAATAAACGGTTAGTTTTGTATCGGCGAACGATGATGACAAACGTAATTTCAACACCAATTCGGAGCCACCGTCCACTGGTTCCGAATATTCGGCCGGTGAATCTCGTCCATTGTCCTCTTTCACAATATTTATCGGATACGATAAACAATATATGGGTACTTTGTATTGTGTGCCTAACTCATCGTAACATTCCGTTAAGTAGCTGCAAAATAACAATTCAACGGACAACGAATTAAAAAATTTGGTTCCACTCGAAAGAGACGAAAAAAGTTAAAATAGAATATTTCGTATATACCCATTTGGTACGCTAATGTTAGCACCGTCTAAAATGGCCTGTGACAATTGAAAGTCCAGTGCTTCGGCAGCGACTGTTGCAGCGCGTAGCGCATCCCAAATCTCTTTTCTGCCATCGAATGCCGGCGCTGTGTCCCAGAATTCATCACGCTTCGATCGTAGTTGGCCTTCTGTCAGCGGCACATCCGATTTCCAACGTATCGTTTCATGGCATAATGGGTGGTTTTTACGCGGTGGCCCTCCATTTCCACCTATTAAATTATCTGATAAATCAATTTTTGACATAATAATCATTTGGGCGATTGACATTTAGCAACCGCTTCGATTTCATTTCATATCAAATTCAATAACGAAATCGAGCGTGAGCAAGCGAGCGCACATTGTTGTTGAATTTAGATCAAAGTGATTATAAATTAGCACTGCAATCTTATCAACGTTCGCGTAGCGTATTAATGCCGTGCCATTTAAAATGTCACGAAAACCGACACACTGCGACTCCAAACACACAAACGAAAATGTGAAAAAAAATGAATTTCTTTTTGTTGTTGTTATTGTTGCGTATTTTGTCTTTCATTTCATTTCATTTCTCAATGCAATACACTTACCCGAAAGTGGTCGCGATACATTTAATGACGATCCATTTGCAGTATCGCCATCGTTGCGATTTATTCCAATACAGCCACCCATGTTTAGTGTGAAATCGATTCGTCAATCCGTCACCAATAGTTTCAACACAATGTCGTTGAAATGGTTATATTTCCGAATGGCAGCAGCAATCGTGCTCACTCGCTCTCTCTCTCTCTCTCTAGCTCTTTTTCGCTCTCTCTCTATCCACCCGGGGCGATTACTGTTTACTTGATAATTTCCCTGATTATTAAATTATATTTTTCACTTATCGCTGATATTTTTCTCCTTGTTTCAATTTTTTTTCCTGTGTCGATTGAAGCGATTTTTATTTTTGTGTGTGCTTTACTTTTTCTTTCGTTTCTGTGTGTGTTTTTTTTTGCTTTGTTTTGTGTGTGTCTCGCTCGTTTTTATTATTAGTTAGTCACCACAAGTGAGCCTGTGAGAGACCTTCGATTCCAATTCATTTGCTAGTCGCGCAGCGCGCGTGCTTTCCCATCCAATGTGGCTGGTCGCTTGGCTCACTGGCTCTCTAAGACACTTCACTTGAACACAAAAAACAAATTTTGTGTGTTCAACGCAAATATTAACACCTCGCCGTAATGATTGGAACGATTGTTTATTTTGCGCTATTGCTCATGCACTTCAATTAAAACAAACAACGAAAACAAAGGAAATATGAAAACACATATCCGTCACCACTGCCACTAGCTCATCACACACACACACAAACAAAAGTGCACACAAACACGTTCACTCAGCGCGCACCGATCAAAAATTCATAATATCAATAATTATCAGCATTATAGTATATGCCGAAATTAACGAAGGAACAAAAATAAATCACACTTTGGACACAAGATACTATTTCATGACATAATTTTTTTTTGTTCGCTGTCACTTTCGTTTTGCTTTTGATTTCTTCAGTTTGCTTGTATATTTAATTATATGCTCACACTTTTAGTCTGGGGAGACCGAACGTGATAGTTTCACCGCAGTTTCTCTTCCCTTTTCGTTGCGATCAAATTTTTTTTTCGCTTCTCGTCTATGTTTTGTTTGATTTGGTATTTCTATTGACTTTGCGATTCCGTATCGAAGTTGAGTATGAATTTTTGAAGCAAAGCCCAAAATATATTCAATCGGTTACAGCAAATTGTTCCATTCGTATACTGGTCAACATTTTTCTTATCGATATTTGTGCATTACCGCACTTCCAAGCAAAAAAAACGAAATTTTTTTTTATTCATTTGTTTGCCTCACAACATTCACTGGCCAACCTTGATGCATTTCATATCGAAAATTTGTTCACCAAGGAGAGAGAGAGAAAAAAAAACACACTTCACAATTCGATTGATTAAAATACCACATAAGACTAATGCGAAATTAAATGAAATTCGCTTCGGGATATCAACTAAAATTATGAGACTGCATTTGAAAAACACATTCGAAACGGAAGAAAATGAAAATGCAGCGGAACGAAAAAACTTAGAAGAATCAGAGGAATTTCGATGGTGTTACAATGTGTATATACGAAGAATGCCAATGGAGCTATATGTTTGTATAGTATAGGATATGTCAAAAAAATGTCGTCAATGTGGTTGCTTCAAATTTATTTCGATACACAGACTGGTGTGACGTTGGCCACATTTCAACTGAACTCTACACACATTTGAATTTGTACTTTGAATGGAGATTTTTTGCCTTTTTTTTCAATTATTCAATTTATATTTGGAGCAATTTCGTTTTTTTTAAAGCGAATGTATCAAATTAAAGTTAAATTTCATTTTTAAAACCCAGATTTTGTATGAAAATTCATTTTTTTTTCTTCCCGCAACGATTACCATCGGATCAGTTGAGCGCTGCAATGTGACAGTGTTTCGTCAAATAGTCTAAAATGGCGTTGGTCCAGTATTAGACTATCTGAAGGAACTTTGACAGACACTGAAAAAGAAAAACATTTTGGTGGTAGTTCGCAAAGATTGCGTGAATCGACAATTTTGTAAACTTTTTATCATTTCAATTAAAGAAGTCGCAATTGTTTATTGAAAATTGTTCGAAATGGCAGCACCAGGTAGCCCATCATCGTTTAATGGATATGAAGAGGATCCAATTTTCCAGAACAGTCATTACACACAAGATATTAGCGAACAGATGCGAGTACCGAAACGTATCAAAGCCACTGGAGAATATTACGATGATTTCGATATGCCACTGGCCAACGGTACATCGAATTGGGGATACCAGGACAAAATCAACATGACAGTTCCCGATCGAATCATGGTCATTGGACAGGAACAACATTTAGGTGAGTTTTAATTTAACACACACGTACACATACGCACTCGCACATCTCTTTGTGTTTATGTGATGGAATTTCGGATTACCTTATACTGCATTTTTTGCTAGGTACACGCACTGCACCACGTGAAATTATGTTAGACAATTCAATTTTGCAACCGCGCGAAGATAATCCAGTACGCGTATCGACACCACCACGGCAAATTGTTTTGTCGGAACATCGTTTCCCATCGGCAACCGAAGATCAATACACACCTGATGTAGAACAAATCAACGGCCACGAACGTGAGTTCAGTTCGTTGGGTTCCCTGGACGACAGACATTTGGCTGTGAGCAAACCAAAGAAATTGTTTCAAAATGATTTTTTCAATACAAGGTAAGTGACGCACCGTTCGGATTGTTATCAGCATTTTTCATATCAAACTTGAACAATTTCATCATCTTTTTCTATTTCAGTCGCGAGGCTACACCACCGTACGGTGAACATGTGACTCCATCGGAAGAAGTGACACATCTGCGACGTCAAGTGGCTCGATTGAATCGTCGAGTGCTCACCATTGAAATCGATAATTTGCAACGACAACAACGTGAAAAGGTCGTCTATTGCCTTGGTTTAGCTTATTTTCTCATGAAAGCGATCATGTGGCTCAACCGAAACTAAGAAATCTCCCCTTCTCTCCCTCTCTCTCTCTCTCTCGAACGCACCGAACAACCAATTTATTGAACAATTTTGTGCAACAGATGGAAATTAGCGTCGAAAACAGCGACTTTTTTGATAAGAATCAATACAAAAACACTTTCTTCATTGTTCCATGCTACTTAATGCTTAGGGGCAATGTTAAGAATACAAATTGGAAAAAAATGTGAATTAAAGTAGAATAGATGAAAAAAACACACAATTCAAAGACAAACCACATCCATTGCAAAGATACGTATGTTCTTTGAGTTGAAAAATAAAAAAAAATGTAATTCCAAATACAACGTTTCAAATGTGGTGAGCCTTCAGTAAATCCGATAAAAACATGATATTGTTTAATTCACAAAATAATGATTTCGTCCTCAATAGCATGATATCAGTTAATCTCGTGTATAAAAGAAATGTTATTTAATTCTTTTTTTTAATGAGTAAATTAGTAGTGGCTGATTCATTTGAACCCTTAGATTATTTCTTTATCAAGTTAAATTTTACCAAGAAAATCACACAAACACATACACCTTTTGACTAGACTGCAAATCGTATGATAAGTTGATTGTTCTGCATTATTCTGATGAGTTGAATGAAATAAAATCAACTAAATAAAATCAAACCCTACAAAATAGTTTACAAGAAACAATGCATTTTCGGATTTCGTCGCGAGTTGAAACATGGATGAGTTTGTAGCAAGAGGTTTGGTTCAAAGTTTAAAGTTTAAGTTTTCAGTGAAATTAATCATATTTTCAGCATCTTTTTGCATTTTGTCACTAATTGCATGTGCAAATGTCGAGTACAAATATGTAAATATAATCATCGCGATGTGTTCGAGGCGTTGTTTCCATTGGTGTGCCACTTGAAGCTGTTCAATGAGATGACAACATTTCTTCATATTCGAAAAGACGCTGGTGGATGACCTTTACACAGTTTCCACATGCAGCAATTATCAATTTATACTGTACAAAATAACATTGCATATAAAAAGCGTTCTGGTTAGCTATGGTCGATTACAATGTAGTCGCGGCGTCAAATCAAAAACTAACCAAGAGTTGAGGGCGTCATAAAGAGAGATATGTGCATCTAATTATTTTTTTTTTATATTTTTCGGTAAGTCTATAATTTGACGGCGGTGAACAAATGCCAGTTTCTTGGTTAAATGAAGTTTAATTGAGTGTTTTTGAGTCGTAATCAAGTAGTCGCGGTCGCAGATAGACAAACAACAACAATGACGATGACGAAGACAACGGTGAAAAAAAATGCCTCATAACAATACAATGCCAACAATTCAGTGACAATAGCGAATACATGACCGGTGGGAAAATGTGGAAATGAATTTTTCACCCAAACTGCCATTCTATGCAGAATCATCAAAAATTATATGTTGACCGTATCACGCTCCCCATGCACACACACACACTCACATTCTTGGCTCGTGTCGGTTGTTTTTTTCCCTCAATTTTCATGCATAAAATTATGATGCCGTGAGGAAAATTTGCGAAATCAATGTGATTTACCGATCCAAATGTAATCCATCGTAATATTTGCCAGTTGAACTTTATATCACAACCGAGTCTTTTCATATCACTCGATATGGAAAATGTTCGGCATTTTGAATTTGATTATTCAACGAATTGCGGTGAGAAATTTCGGTCGAAACGGAAAATAACGAACTCTCAAGCATTCGGCTTTTGTGAAGTGCTTCAGGATCACCTTGTATACACACTGGCCGTAAACAATATGCTATGCGAATACGGTGGAGAAGTCGCCAACACACAGAGTGCACACACCGATACCACTTGAAGTGTTCATTCACATCAAATACATTCGCTTTTTTCATTCGTTCATTCACTCAATACACTCAAAGCGCGTTGTCGAACACAATGTGTCTGTTTATTTACAAAACGAACGAACGAACGTTGCACATTTCATTGTGTTGGCTGTGTTTGCTTCGCGCTCGACTTTTTTTCTTCTCCTTTTCTTCTTCTTCTGCTTCTTTTGCATGCTTTCTTAGGTTGGCGTTTTAATTGTGCACTTGAGGCGAACGTATGGTTTTGGTATGCTTTGTGCAGAGAGCGCACTCCATCCACCAATACATTCGCGGTAGGTACATGCGCGCGCGCTCTCTCGTTCGATCGATTGCCAATGTGCAAGTGAAACGGCGGTGTTGTGTGCTGATCACACGTTTTGCCCGTTCGAGAGAGAGAGTGTGTGTGTGTATGTGGTGTCGCTGGCAGAGCCAAACCGCGATCATTGTTGTGCCAAAACCAAAAAAGACTTGTTTAGTTGTAAAAGTTACGAACCTCCAAGCAGACGTGCTTAGTGAAGTCGCGCAACGATTTACACGTTCACCAACTCCTACTTGAATTTGTGAACGGCATTTTTTTCAGCCACAAGATTTTCGATCTTTCTCTTGCTCTTGTGTGTGACTCTGGAGTATAAATTTTTCGGATTTTTAGTTTTTCAAGTGTTTCATTTTTGTATTCATAGTTTTTCGTCAGTGTATGTGGAAATACCGTCAATTTCATCAAACTAAAAAGTGATTTATCGAAAGTAATATCGGATTTACGTTTGTTTTTTCTTCAATTGCTAAACGGTTTTGTTCGAGGTCCTCAATGGTGTTGATACGATCGGAAGTTTAAAATTGTACGTCTATATATTCAAAAATAGAAAAAAATTCATTTTTCTATTGCCTACATTTGATCGCAACCAGCTGAAAGAGAAAAAAAAAGAAATGGATGGCATTCGCCCAGTGAAATCGAAAATGATCTGAAAGAAATGATAAGCAGAAATATCGACGAATGAAAGAAAATTCCAATTGCAAATTAATTCAAATTGCCGAATAGAAAAAGCAAATGGAATGAAGTGTGCGAATAAACAATGAAATTAACAACATAAAATGAAATGCCCGAAATGAGAAAGAAAAAGAAAAGAAAACAACACACGGTCTAACGAAACAACGATGAATGAAAAAAAAAACCATAGATACAGAAAGAGGGAGAAGAGAAGAAATTCAATGTGAAAATTTCAGTGTGAAAGTTTTGTTCAGTGCTGTACTTGTTGTTGTTGTCACTGAACGGCTGATGTGTCTTCGAAGTGGATTTTTTTTCTCGCTTGCTTGCTGCTGCTGCTGTCTCTTGCTTTCGTTCATTTGTTTCTTCGGGGCTTTTGCCTTGATCACCTTCAATGAAACGTGTACAAATTCGATATGTGTGTGCGTGCGTGCTGCGTACGAGCGCACAAAAGAGTGACTGTTTCTTCGTAATTCCATCCATCGCATATTCGCATCCGTAATGCAAACCAATTATTGATGCATCGAAATGGTTTTGTGATAAATGTCTTATCGCTGTTTTTACCATTTTACAAGGATTTCTCCATTTCGATTCGTCATAAACAACGAATGGAGATTCATAATTGAATCATTTTTTTTTCAGCATTTTTTTGGGTCTTCGATCCCATCATCATCAATAGCCTTCAATACAATTCTTTTGTCAACACGTTTTTTTCTCTCGACCATTTCACTTTGAAACTGTATTTTAACCACCGTCGTGTCTCTTTTTTTATCTTTCTATTCATTATGTAAAATTGAAGTTTTGTTGATTTTGGTATTCCGTTCATGTTTGGCCGCTTTCAAAAGACCCGTCTGCGCGATTTGATCAAAAAATAGCGTTAATTATTTACAATGTTTTAAGCCAAAATATGCACGATCTCAAACAAGAGACAGTGAAAGACACTCATGTGTCATATATATTGACGCATTCTTGGGTGCGATCAATCATTTTTGATTTGTTGTCCATGTAATCACCGTAGAGATAGCTTACCTCATTCACGTAATCGCGTAAAAACTACAGCCAACCAATCGTTCGATCAACAAAATTCAATCTATTAATTGAATCGACGAAAAAATACGAAAAAAAAACTGATTGAAAAAGAAGTTATCGAAAATTCAACGATCGATTCAATAAATCACGGAAAATGCAATGAAAGTAATTTGGTTCGGCACTTGCATTCGATTTGTGTGCTTTGCTATGCTATGCTATGTTGTGGCTGTGTGAAGTAACGGCTTAATTCACGGAAAACCAGCACATATTGAGCAATGTGTTTTCGGTTTTTGGTATGTAGAAATTGACTTGGAGTCAATTAGTATGTAAAAGACGTTGTGCGATTCGAATACACGAAGCTCACGCAATGCGCTCGTCGGTATCGTTCGTCGATTGCTCATGTATACGCGCTCGCTCGCGATCGTGCCCCGGGTCGATTGGCTGGCTGGCTGGCTGGTTGGTTAGTTAGTTGGCTGGTGTGCGTATCATGTCGATACGATCGACAACAAGCCATAAAGCACAAATACATACCGTTTGTGTTGTGGGAGAGTCAACAACAGTTACCTATCTGCTCGTTATTCGCAACAATCATCATCGAAAATTGAAATGAATATGAAAATATAAAAAGCGCGTTGAAATCATTCTATTAATAATAGGCTTAGCTGGCGGTATGCGCTTTCAATGTGTGCCACTTATTATTATTTCTCTTTTTTTTCAATTTTGTTTCGCAGTATTAGCAAACAAAACTAGTGATTATTTCGTTATGCATTTGCTCTTCGACACTCTCTGTCGATTTGCTGTGGTTGTCTTACAAGAAAATACCATTGAATAAGTCGAGTAGTAGAAAATAAAACAAAAAACCAATTCAAAAATTAGTATGAATGGTATGAAATTTGTTCGAAAAACAACAACAAACACCATTTTTTTCGATGTTAATCCGTTAGTTTTCGCCACATAATATCGAAAGACATCGACGATTCATTCGTGCACATATTATATCATTTGTCAATGTGTGTTTTGTTTTCTTTGCTGTTGTTGTTTTTTGCTTCATTTTTGCCATTGTTTAATTTATGTATCATTCGATGTCAATGGGTGCTTGTTTGTAATGCTTTACCTGCCTGAAATAATCTGCCTAAGCACAGCACTTACTTAATTATTACACTGTGTACATAAAATCGAGATGCGACTCTCTCGGTGATTCAAGTATTTTTCGCTGAATTTCGCAACATTTTGTTTTTCATATTCATAAAGTTGACTCCGATTTGAACGCCATTTGCATCTTTCTCAACGCGCGCGCCAAAGCTGTTGCAAGAAATGGTTTTTCTCTCTCACTCTCTACCATCAAATCAAATCGATGGGAGAGATTTCCACACACAGAGACACACATTCATTGTGTGTCAGTGCAGCTCTGTTTTTTCTAATAATTTGTGAGAACCCAACTGAGCGATATTATGGTGCTTTTTTCTCCTCATGTGTAATTACAAACAACATTGCAAATATATTTTATACGAAAAATATCGCTTGAATTATCTAACAGTTCAGACGTGAGATTGAAGATACCCTTTTGTTTACTCTTGAAATTTAATGATCGCATTTTTTTTCGCTGAGCCGTTCAACGAAAGTGGATTATAAGTTGGAAAGAATATTTTTGAATAGGACAAACGGCGTGTTTAATCTATTGGTTTTTCGAGAAATCCACCAGCATTGGTGGGTAGATGTATTTAAAGCAAATGCGCAAGGCTATCGCGGTGAACCGCATTAAAACCAACATACGTTTTCCGATGACTCAGCATCTAAGCATTTCGTATCTGCGGATATATCCGAGCATATCGACGACGCAAGT